GTAGAGCACTATTTCCATAAAGATTAATGGCATACCTTCATCAGAGAATCATATCAAGGCACCTGATTGTTCGTATAACCGTCGTATTTTCTGAGTATAAAAATGACTCGGAGAGGTCTATGTGAATATTGGGAACATCTGGGATTATAGTAAAACAGAATATCCCGTAAAAAGAATTTAGAAATACAAGAACCAAATATGCATAGCTTGGATTCTGTTCAGTGTGTTAAGATAGGGATGAAGCAGAGGATTCATTGAGTTCGATTAGTGTGATCGCCATATGTAACGGTTAATTGTTGTTTGTGATTTATTTTTTCATATATTTATGGAAGAAATACAACACAATAGAGAAAGCAGATGGAAGGAGAGAAAGTTGAGTCAAGAATGACTGATGAACGATACATGAACACAAGTATTTATACGTGTACATATAAGAGAGCAAGAGAGAGAACAATAGAGAGAAGAATTAGATGATGCAGAGAGCAACCAATGATAGTGACGAGTGTATAATTAATGAATCCGTCACATGTTGTTATTTAATTAATTAAATTTTTATGAAATAAAAAGTCGAGTACAGGGAGAGAATCCCTAAAAATATAAAACTTATTTGTCGTTCCATAACCGAGATCAAACCAGCACTGTCACAGTCCTATTTTTTTCACACACGACTCACCTGTCCATCTTGAAGTCGAAAATGTTTATGCACACACATGTCTTCGGGATTTGACAAGTTTCTTGCGGCTTTATCGATGTCCCACATATGAGCGCGAAAGCGATAGGCAGCCTCAAGATGTTTACTCTTTATGATAGGTCATCAGGAATGTTTTTTATGTTTACTGTTACAGTTTACAATGCTGTCGAATGGTGAAAATATTGTGGCAAGGGTTCAGTCGGACTGTGTAAAATGGTTAAGGCTATCTGAATTGAACATATTGGCATTTTTCAAAGATAATCTTAAACATATAAGTTGGTTGAAAGTGTTCTGTCTCGCCCAGACCATCATGCTAGTATTCGTGGTGCACACACTCAATAGTAACCCTCGTTGTCGTCATCATTCACTTAATGTGACGAAAGTTCAAAGAGTAAATATTGCTCATTGCATGACAGGTGCCCCTAGAACACTCTATAAAGAGGAAGTGTACACTGCATACCGACGACAAGCCCTAAATATACTAACTGGTGATCTCTTTGCTGTCCTTGAACTTCGAAACGACTCTGAGTCTATCCACGGAAGCCTGGCTGAATTCAATCCTCCAGATAAATACAATACTGCACTAAAAAATGAACTAGTACAAAAATGATGTAATAATCAACAGAAGGAAGAAAGTATTTAAAACCAATGTTGTACCTCATTCTTTTGAATAAAATTCATCTTTCTCCGCTTAAAATTGAATGGATTCCTGTAGGAAACCATCTTGGTGCTGTCGATGACCGGGCTGGTTACTCAAAGTGGGGCCGTTGCTTGGAACATATCGAAACAGCAGAGCAACAGAATGGCATCAAGTACGATTTCATCATCCGAAGTCGACCAGATCTGTACTTTGCTAAACCATTGCCTTCGCCGGATAAGCTACCGAGTGATCGCATTCTACTTAATCCGTACTATGAGTGTTTACATGACGTTCCATCGGGTTATAGCGAGTCATGGGGCACAAATCTAACTTACTGTAATGGAAACGATCATGGTCTTTCAGATCTGTTTGCAATCGTTCCACGGACTTTGGCAGATAATTACATGCGTGCTGGCTATGCTACTAATTTAAATCTTAGTGTTTGTGGTGTGCGAGCTGGTCATACTGAATGTCTGATTAAGGCAGTGCTAATGAAAACGAATGTCAAATTTGAAATGTGGCCATTCGTCGTTAAAATAATGCGCTCAGCAAAATTCTGTCATTCTCAATTGTGGAACAAATTTAATGGCTGGTGTTAATAATATCTATTAAGAGTAGATTGAGTGAATAAGTCGCAGTGTTATTTGCAAATAAAATACTGGAGGTTTTGTATTCCTGATCGTTCTAAATTCTACAGTATTAGGTATACTGCATCTAATGCATGTCCTCGAAGAATATGCTACAAACGTAGTTCTTCAAAGACGATTTATGAGGTCATTAAACATTTCCGTACTTTGCAAAAGACTGATTCTTGCTTTTATCAGAAACGAAGAATCATGCGAAGAAACTTATACACGTAATTATTAGTATTCTGCTTAGTGCCTATCATCCGTTAACATCAACGGAGTAGAAAAAAGTTTCTCAATCGAAGCATTTCATTCTCGTTTTTCATGCAATAAGTTTTGAGAAGCCTTAAGCGTAATTCCCATGGATTTATAATGTGAAGCATGATGGGCTCTTGCACTTCATTAATATAGTTTCAGCTGAATCAACCGTTTTGATACTCAAGAGCTGCATAGATTCTATTAGTCAGTAACAGTGAATGGATGCCGAAAGGGGACTGCAAGCTTTTCTAAATATATTTCAACAATCTTTACCAATCGCCTATTCATTTATTTATTAATTTTCTTTTTCTTCTCGTTTCGAATCGGAATTTCAACCGTTCAGTAATAACTTCACAGTTTTTGAGTTTATGCTGCGATAATCACATCGATCTATCAAAGTTTCAAACGTTCATACCAGAGGCATTTAATTTTTTTATACCAAGTTATTCGTGAGCGGTACAGATGTCTCTCCTGTGTAGGTACGGTTTGTAATACTTGATACAGTAGTCTCTCATATGGTATTCTCAGCGTATGCTCAAACCAATTTAGCAGCAGTTTTTCGATATTAGGAAAACAATATTTCGATTTTAAAATATTTGCTACCTAAAGTCGAGCGGCTCGACACATGTGTGTGGATCTAGTTGTGGTCATTTATTTTAACAAACTTCCTATCATCTAGTCAGCCGGTATCATGAATATGGGTTTTATGCTGGGAACATCCACATCCACATACGCCACCCTTACATGACTCAGTTGATTCGATAATGTTGAGAAGAAAGAGTATGAGTACGGATGAGTATCCTCTTTCATGTATCCCACTTCTGCATCCACATTCTCATCATTCGAATAATATTCATTATCAAATTCATAGTTAACATCGATCATGTGAAGAATATTATTGCTAATTAACGTTATTATAAGAAGAATGACATTGATAATAATAATCCATTTATTATTACTCAAGCAACCTATTTTCAATGCAAAGCACAAGCTAAAATGATCAGATTTTGTGCCTATAGTGCGTGTATGGTGTGTTGTGTATGGTTTTCACACCAGTAGGATCTCAATATTCGTGATTATTATAATGAATTGCGCATATTATTACTATAAATGTTGAAATGATATTAAGTTGAAAGACAAAAACTAAATTGATAATATAACAAAGTTTGATAATGTCTTTCATTCTTTTCTTTTCTATCATATTATAAACATAGATTTCGGCTCATTTTACAAATATACTCGTAAAACATATTAAAACAGTGAATGTTATTCCTCGAAATCCATTAGAAATTACAATGTGAAATACTATTCGATTTGACATTATTTTTGGTTAAAATAATATAGAAAATAGAAGACTTACTCTAAAAAGAGTTTTGTAATCAACTATAATGATCACAATAAAAAAAATTTATCATTAAGATAAATGAAAGATAAAATATTTAATAAAAATTTCAAATAGAAATTGATTGTTAAAGATGTAAAATTTAAGATAAATATGAGAGATATTCATCTGAAATATAAAAAATTTTCTTTCTTTTTTTTTTTCTTTTTTAGAAACAGAAAAAGTTTTAAAATAATTATTATTAACCTTTCAACGTTAATATATGCACATATGTTTCATCAAACAAAACAATTTCTTTTTTTTATTTTCATTAGGAGGAATTCACATAAAGACATCACTTTTTTGTGACAATATTTCATTATGCAGATATAATTACATTACTTTTATTTTATATTTGTAACAAAAGGAAAGTTTTTCATAAAAGAAATGTTCGAACATTTAACTTTTCTCATATTTCTAAAATATTTTGACGAATGTCAGAATATATTCCAAAAAGAACAAAAAATATTGAGCAATCACTCGATACTCTAGTCAACTGTATATATAATGATGTTCTTGCTGGTTTTTTTTTTCGTTCTATGCTTTACCGCTGAAGGTAAACGTGAACATGAAAGATATTTGGAATATGACTGGCTTGTAATTTGATTCAGAGAATGCATTTGCTGCACTAAAAAACAGTTGTTTCATCATTATGATCCCAATGTTAAAATTAGGCAGAGAAAAAATGTAAAATTTTTAGGATTGTCTACCATTATTGAAAGTGTATATGTGTATGTGATTGCCTTCTCGTGTTGAATGAAAACGACATCGACACTACACTAAACATTAACACTCTTATTGATTGTTTCACTTTTTGTCTTATTGCTTATATATGAACAATGAATAAACATCTCTTCTTTAATTTGTTGTTTGTTTGTTTGTTTGTTTTAATATAGAACGTATTAAAAGAGATTTTTTTAAAATTCCTACTAATTGATTAAAAACGTTTACATAGTATTAGTTTTTTTCGATATTTATCAATATTTGAGACGGCTGACAATTGCTTTTGATCAACTATAATGAAAAATCTGTTTAGATATTTTAATTCTAAAGCGATTTTTTCCTAATGCTTGAACTTATTTCTTAATAAAAGAAAAATATTTCTTAATAAAATAAATTGACAAAATAAAACAAAGCTGTTTTAAAAGGTTTATTAAAATAAATGGAAAATAACGATCATCAATGTATGATCGTCTAGTACTAATGTTGAATGACTGAAGTAACTAATTAAAAAAGAAGAGTGTAAAAAAAGAAAAAGTAAAACAAAGGATTTTTGATGAAAAGGACTAACATGAAAATAAAAATCCTAATATAATGTGTTCTAAAATAATGAATAAAAAACTTCGATATATATTTTTCTTTCGTTAATGTCTATTTGACCAGAAAGAATATTTATCATCGATTTTATTTGTTAAGATTTTTATCATCATTTGTTTTTGATTGTGTTAATGATGTTGTATCTTGAACAGATTTTCCATCTTCTATAATTAAACAAAAATAAAATTAATATTTATATATTAAATTCATTTTTTAAAGACTAATTGAGAAAATAAATTAATTGTTTCTTTTTTTATTTAAAAATTTAATAATTAAATTAAAAAAAAGAAACAAAAGATAAGATAGACTCATTTGTGCTAAATCGTCTTCATCGCGTTGAATAAAATATCTTACCATGAATAATAGTACTGTTATTGAAAGGTCGTATAGCGACGAAGAACATCAAGTAGCACAAACTGATTATATATGTTATTGGAATAAAAATTTTATTAAAAAGCCAAGCGAATTTATTATTTGATGTTTTAGCTAGATAATAAATCAAGCACAATCAAACACAAAACTACACAATCAAAACAAAAGCAAAACATACAACTATTTACCCACCTATTACATTATTTTCTGATGAACCTGTACAAGATTTAAAATTTTAAATAAAATAATTTATTATTATTATTATATATTTTAAGTTCAATATAAATCATATCTAACCTGTATTTTGTTGATTTGACATTATATTTTGAAGATTACCGGATGATGAAGCAGAACTTTGACTAACTAATTCAGTTACTGGAGTTAGTCCAGTTAATTCGTCTGTACCTAGAAGAAATTTTTAAACAAAAAAAAAACAAAGTTAAAAATAAAATATCTAATATGATTTGTTAACTTTGTCTATTATCAGTAACAATTATTGATTTACCTGTCGAAATTAATTCTTGTTCATTTGTTGAAGTTGATTTTTCAATTGGAATATTTGAATAAACTAATGATCTATTTTATAGACAATAAAAAATCTATTCAAATTTTAAAATAAAAATAAAACAAACTGAGAATTTTCATGATGAGATATAATTGTTTGTTGAGATGGTTTTTTAAGAATACTTGCTGGTTTTTCAGGTGTTTGTTGTCTTTCGGGTGTATTTTGTCTTTGTTGTGATGGATGATATTGTGGTGGAAGATGATCAATATAACGTTCAATTTGTTGTTGAATATGTGAATAGCAATCTCGACCAGTATATTCAATATGACCAGTTTCCCATGCTCGACGATGTTCAATTGAACCAACTT